TGTCCATATGGCAGCCAAGAGACTCTTTCCAACAAGCAAGTCTGCTGTCAAATCCCTGCTAAACTCCTCTCTGGGGCTCCTTGTGCCTCAGAATAAATCCAGGTGAGCAGGAGCAACCACCTCTGACCCTCAGCTGTCTCTAGTCTCCCAGGCCATACTTGGTGTCTAACTAAAGGGAACTGTGGTTACTTGCAATTCCGGAACATTTCAGGTTCTGTCTGGGCTTGTGCACATGCTGTTCCCATTTCCTGGAAGGGTGCTCCTTTCCTTGATGCCTCTTAACCTGGATAATTCAATGCCCCATGTCCTCCCTGGTTCTCTCCTGGTTGCTTACTGCCAGCAGCCCACAGCATTGTCCAATGCCCACATTCCCAGGGGGAAACTTGTCAAGGGTGGGTATGGTGCCTCCTGTGCCACCATGTTTATGTGTGGCTATACCAGCCTACCCAAAGAAGGTGCTCCAAGAAGGTGTGCTGAATGAGTTTCATTTCTCCCCACACTCCTCCAGCTGGAGATCAATGATGTGACCAGGCTCTGGGGGCTCAAGGTGGACTGTGTGGAGCTGGCAGTGGAGTCCATGCTGCAGCCACCCCAGAACAGCCCCGCGGGCCCGGCCAGGACAGTCCCCTCCAGCAGCTGGTTCTCCACTTCCTGGGGAGGGGCATGTCCTCAATGGCAGAAGGTAACCCTGCCCCCAGGGCTAGGTGAGGAACTTCCAGAAAATAGTGGGGGGAAGGCTCAGCAGAGCACTCAGCTTGGTGTCCAGCACAGGCTGAGCTTTGCTACTTGCTCCCTTAACCAAAGCACCTTTGTGCAGTCCATACCCTGCCCGTCTTTCAGGTCACTCTGATTCCAAAGCTGATTAGAACTAAGGCAGTGGGAAGAGCCCAGGTGTCTCTAAGTGCAGGGAGGCTTTGGGAACCTCCATGGTGGGAAGCAACAGCATCCAGAAAAGAGATTTACATTCAAGGCTGGAGTAGCTTAGAAATGGGGTTTGGGAGTTAAGGATGAAAACTCAAGAGTGGCTTCTTAGCAGAGTAGGAAGTTGAACACAGACCTGAATGGGATGTAAGATGGAATTGCTGCCAAGGTATGGAGGCCACAGCAGCATATTGACCTTCCCTCTCTGCCTCCCTCCCCAACCCTGTGGGCTACCTCCACCCCACCATCAGACACCTTGGAGATGGTGAGCAAAGTCAAGCTGCCTGCCCCTCATGTTGGTGATGGGCCCAGCTTGAAGCAGCCTGTGGCAGAGGGGTGCTGACTGCTCTGCAGCTCTACCTGTCTGAGACCCTGGTCAGCCAAGTAGGGGCCTGCTACCAGTTCAGAGTCGTCCTGCCCAGTGACACCCAGAGCATCTACTTCTAGGACCTCACTACAGGAGCAACTGCCCTCCTTGCCCTCTCTTTCCCACCAAGGTTGCTTGTAGCTCCTGCCCCCCACCCCAGGTCCTCTTTTAGACTACCCCTGCTCCTGCCAAGAGTTTAGAGTGAATCCATAGCAGCCGGGGACTCATATACCATTTGCAGAGAGTGATTATCTAAGCCTTTGTCTTCTTGTCCTGTCCTCATCACCAGGATGACTCAGATAGCCAAGCTTCCTGTACCAAGAACCCTGCACACACTGCAGGCTTACTGTGTGCCAGGCTCTGTGCTGAGCACTTTTCAGGCATTATCTCACCTACTTTTCACCATGAATCTATGATTTAGGGAATATCACATCCCCATTTCCCCAGTTTGGAAACTGAGGCTCTGAGAAGTTACATAGCCAATACGACTTCAGCCCAGGATATTAGAGTCTGAATGCTTAACCACTACTCTACTCCTCCCAGTGGAACATGCTAATCCCCTTTTCCCCCACCGCATAGTTATCCCCCTACTCATGCTTGGTTTTCTTTCTCCTCACAGGGCAGGGGAGGGCGGGACGTGGGGTGTCTGATGGCATCCCTGACTTGGTGGTGGAGATGACCGAGGCAGACCTACAGGCCCTGTTGTGCAAGGAACTGCAGCCCCTGGGAACCTACATGAGCGGGCAGATGAAGGTGATGGGCAACCTAGCAATGGCCATGAAGCTGGAGGCTGTCCTCAGGGCCCTGAAGTAGTAGTCTTGGCTGACCATCCACAGCCCAGCCCAAGCCTGGCACCAAGCCAGGAGGTCATCTTGGAGGAAGAAGCATTGGTGCTACACCTTATATTATTGAGGCCCTGAGAAGTTTCAGGCCCAGCCAGCAGCCAGTGAATGGAGTCTGGGAGACACTGGAGGCTGGGCCAGGCTGAGTCAGTCTGCCCTGCCCTTCTGACCTACAGTGGTTCTCTGGACAAACCTTTGCCCATCCCAATCCCCTAAAGTGGGTACAGAGCACCGTGATAGCAGACCCATGCCTGCTCTGTGATGCTGGCTAGTTGGCTGGAGAGGCAGAGCCTAAAGAAACACCCTGACAATATCTGGTTTGGTCCTAGTATGAGGGAACAAAGCATGTGGCTCAGGCTCCCAGCTCCAGAGTGTGTATATGTGTGTTTGGGGCTGGGTGTGGGGATTAGAGAGCTTGGGGGATGTAGAGGGAGGTGACCATCAAAGAGATGTCATTGCCAGAGGGATCTGGGGATTAGGTAGGGCCCACCTTCCAGATTTCAAGTTAGATCCAGG